ATTTATCCATAAGCAATAATATTTTAGAGATTTGCTGAAAAAGTGTATAATGGTGTAAGCAAATTTCAACACTAATGAAGCCAAATGCCAAAATGTGTGATGATGAAGGGAGAGATTTAGAAGACACAATAATGTATTCATTATAACAATCGGGAATTGAAGTCTCAAAATTCAAAAGAAATGGAGCTAGAATGTAAAAATTTTCTTCACAATTTGATGAAGTGAATCTACATATATTAATGAAAATCATTTAAATAATAAAACAAAATAAAATAATATATATATATTTTAGTATTAATTGATATGCTTAAATTAAAAAATAAAGATAATTAAGAAAAACATATCATAGGGATCAAATTGAAAACATTTTGGGAAATTAGGGAAAACTGTAAATGCAAAAGAATCAAGATGAAAGAGAACTTGCGATTTACAGATAAATGGTAAATTTAAAAAATACCTAACACATTAGTAGCTGAGGTGTCTCGAGGAACCAATTAAAGGAAGCCCAGTCTGGACATGTACAAATGTGCTAGATTCAAATGGACAGACGACATCTTGCCATGCATGCACTGCGTGGCAGATTAAATGATGGAAAAAAAAAACCTAGATTCAATGACCTGGTTGCACCCTTCTAATTCAACAGTCACGATTAAATCATGGCCATTATAAGTAAGGATCAAATTTTTTTAAAAAAAAGAGAGAAAAATCGAACCCTAATTGAAAATTAGGGCCGATGGAAAAAGAGGGAAGGAAAGAGGGATTCTGGTAGACTGAGAGTTATTCCTTGCACTCACGAACACCAAAGAGCATGAGGTAGTCGTCCTTTAGTGTACATTTTTCTCTTTACTTAAATCAGAACCCCAAAACTCTGGTTATTCTAGATCAGTTTTTGAAGCAAACATGGATGTTTGGTTTTTGTGTGTGTGTGTGTGCAATCAGGTGAAAAAGAAAGTTCATTCCATAAATTAAAGCACTCCATCTGAATTATAGGGAAGGGTGAAAATAGTTTAAGCCTGAGACCCCAGTTTTGTAATTTAGTACTCCTTTAAGATAATAGATTTATTAAATATTTGATGTATTTAAATAACCACATATTTATTACGCGTTTTTGTTAATTTAGACATGAATATGGGAATGATATGTTAATATGCAACTCACGGTGACCAATGGTTCATGGAGTGACCTAGTAGTAACAGGAAGGTTAGGTGAAAACATTAGGGTGTGGGAAAAGTAAAGAAATGAGCCAAAAGGGCTTAATGGGTCAAGGACCAAATTATCCGAGCCCACATTTGGTCACAGGCTGAGACTAATAACATTATGGATCGAATTGGAAATTAGATGGAGAAATGAGGGTTGTGGGCCACTGAATAAGGGCCCAAAAAGGGAAACTAAAATAATAATAATGGTAATAATTATTATTATTATTATAATAACATAAAAGTAATAAATTGAAAAAATAATGATAATAATTATAACAATAAAACAAATTGAGATGAATATATATATATATAAATAGATATACCTATAAGAGATCATATTAATATATTACTAATAAGTTTAAATGGGCCAAAATAAACTAAATTGAGTTTATTCAAAAGTCTAGACGATAGACCCACCATGAGAAGAGTGGGAATAATTAAATTAATCCAAAAGGGCTGAATGGGCTAAGTATAAAAAAATGGATAGTGGGAGTAATTAATTTAACTTTAAAGGGCTGAATGGGTCTGGTATAAATTGAAAATAAAATGAGAATAATCAATTTAACCCTAAAGGGCTTTAATGGTCCAAGAATGAAATGGGGATTAGTTAAGTAAATAATAAGGGCCTATTAATCTAAATGGAGATAGAGGTGAGTAAATGATCAATGGACTAAATGATTAAGTGCTGAATGGGTTAAATATGGAAATGATAAGTGAAAAATATAGAAACTCAAGTGACACTAGGAAGAAAAAATTTCATAGAATGTAATAAGTTAAGATAAAGACAATCAATAAGAAAATATTACAAATATGCCTATATCAACCGTGTATAAGCTTTATACAAATCTAATTTTTATAGAGTAGGTGCAAGAAATTACAAGCTTTAAGAGTAATTAGTTACCTTCATAAAAGTTTTGACATGGCAACAAATTTTATTTAGACACTGAACAATAAAGAAAAGTTGAGTAAAGGCTAAATGTAAAGTAATGAGTCAAAATAATGAGTAACAAATCTTTAAAACTTGTTTAATCTTACATCAAAGGGGGTGTGTGTGTGTGTGGCCGAGATTCAATCGAGGTGATAATGAATCCTATCTCGTGGACAATCGACCATATCGTACTGTATTGATATTATTACCAGGTTTATAGGAGGGTGTGTGAGTACGTGGTCATTTTCAGTAATGAGTAACCCCTTTCCATGAATGGAGAAATTCACCATATTGTACTGTTGTTGTGTCCTTTATGGACATACCGTACTGTTATATTGTTGTTGTGACCAAGTCCACGTTGATAGTAGCGATCTCTATTGCTCTCCTTGAAAGTGATTAAAACGACATTGTACAATAAAATTATAAAGTCTAAGTATCTAAGTGTTAATTGCATTTTTTAATTGTGTATGTGAAAAGGGTATCGTACTATATCATAAATCATGAGAAACAATTGTACCATAATTGATTTTGTGTTATTAGAAATGTTATACTACATAGTGAATCATGAGAGTGGAGTTTATAATAAAATAGTAGACGTTAAATTGTGCCCGAAACCAATGATCGTTACATTAGAGAAATGAGAGGTATAAAAATGAAAGTGATAATTTAATAATTTAATATAAGTAAAATATAGTTAGTTGACTTAAAAATTTTCAAGTAGTATAAAATATCAATTAGGTGGAGGTGAAACGTAAAGAAGTCTTATGGGTACCGCATATAATTCTATAGATTAGGCTTTTAAATTATTATCATTGAGCACATATAGCTCATTCTAATTCATTATTTTTAGAATAGAAGAACCAAGATCCAATTCAGGAATCGTCGAAGCAGTAAAACAATGCAAAAAGAGTACGAAACAAATAAAGAGTTCCATTTATGTTGATTTAGTTTTCTAAACCTTGAAGTACTACTTAAGTTTTTGAGATATTATGATGCCTCACTAATTTGTCAATGTTTATAAAGGCTCCACTAAAATGCATGGAATGAGAATGTTATTAATTGTCGATATATGCCAGTTTACTTACATAAGTCATAGTATATATAAATGGATGTGTAGAAAAGATGCTCGTGATTCCCTACAGAGTTTGGGTTGTTACATTGACAATTGATGGGTAGTTTGACCTATTTAACTTTAAACATATCCGATATTTTTTATACAGTCAGTGTGATGAGTTGTACATACAGAATCTAAAGAAGCCTTATTTGGAAGCAATACGATGAATCCTAAAATATGTGAAAAGTACACTTGGCTATGAAATCTTGTATAAAAAAGGTAGAGATTAAAAGCTAATTGGTTATTCTGATGCTGATTTTGCTAGTGATCATGATACTTAACCCTCAACTACTGAGTATATTTTTATGCTTAGATCGGGGCTAATTTCTTGGTACACTAAGAAATAACCAACTATGCATTTGTCAACAACAAAAGTGGAGTATCAAGCTGCAACAATAGGAGTAAAAGAGAGCACTTAGCTTATATGATTGTTGAGGGACCTACATCAACTGATATATTATTCAATTTCTCTATATTACAACAACCACAATAATATGTTTAGCTGATAATCTAGTTTTTCATGCAAGAGCTAAACATGTGGAGGTGCATTATCACTTCATCAGGGAGAAAGTTCAGCAAGAGGAAATTGAATTAAAGTGTATTGACATGAAAGAGATTTGTTCACAAAAGGCTTGAGTAGCAACATGTTTAGAAGCTTTTGTCATCAGCTCAGGATGGTGGAAAGAATGAAATAATGTTATGGGGAAATATTAAAGTTATAACAATAAGTAGCACACTGACTTTATTTGACCGATTTTATTTTTCATTTTAGTTCAATTTATCTATTCTTATTGTTATTGAGGAAGTTAGTATGTTTTGGTTTCCTATTCTAAAGAGACTTGTAAAAGATCCATTAATGAAGAAACTAGTAGTAGAAAATAAGAGAACATGACTTGATTAATGAAGAAATTAATAGCAAACAAAATATTTTGGTTAATTGAAAAGTTAGTGACAGGGAACATGCTTTCTATGCCTATATAAGGCAGTCCATTTGTATCAAATAAATTCATCCATTCATAGCTTCATTTCTTAGTTTGCTATATATCTTTCATTGAGTGCACTTTTTCTTTTCTTTATATAACATATGACTCTTTTTGTTGAGTTTCTCAATTTGTGGTATCGTAGCAATATATAAGTTAAATTTCTAGAAAATTATGAAATTCTTTATTAAATTCTAAGAAAATTGTGAAATTCTTCTATAAAATAACAAAAAATGAACTCAAATAAAATTTTACATAGAATTAAAACAATTTGTATTTCAAAATTAATAATACAATTTACAATATATATTTTGATCTTACATGAAATTTTACATGAAGTTATTTTTTTTACTATCATAATATAATTTGCATCAGTTCTTAATTAAATTAAAATTATACTTGAAATAAATATAAAAATTTATTGTAATTCATTTACAAATCTATATTTATTTTAACTAAAGCATCATCAAAATACTATTTATTAGTATATTTATTTTAATTAAAGCATAATCGAAATGCTACTTAACTAATAAAAATTGAATTCATATGAATTTTATGCGGGATTGGTGAAAAGTATATTTCAACTTCTATTAAAATTTTAAAATAATAAAATAATAAATTAATAACATGAGCTAAAATTATTATTTCACATCAAAAGGGGGACCGCACACCGGCTATACTGTATATATGACGTCATCATCAGTTTAAAATAAAATAATAATAAAAAAGTAATTAAATGAACATAAGAAAATTAGGTTTTCTTGGTTGGCAAGAGAAACGCTACCAAAAAAAGGGCAGACAGATATTTGGCGTGTAGAGAGATAGGGAGGGTGTTGTTGGGAGCACATTTTGGGAGGGGTTTCACATTGGGGAGAGATAGAGAAGCTCTGGATTCCACCTCTACCCGTCCTTGGTGACGGTGGTTATGCCGGTTGGCTTTCAGGTATTCTCCTTCTTCTTTCTCTCTCCTATATTTTTAATCGGTGCTTTTACGTCTGTTATATCTATATGTTGGGCTCAGCAATTTGGTGTTCTCACGGTTTGGATCTGATCGGATCGGGTTCGATTATGTCACATCCATGATGTCCTTTAGATTTTGGTTTACGATCTATGTGATTTTCAATTTTCGATTAAGTTAGGGTTTTGTTATTTCATCCGCTTTTGATTGGTCTTGTTTTTGGAAAGGAAGTAATGGTGCCATGGCTGTTTGTTGATTTTGTTTCTTTTGCATTTTTTTTGAATTCCTTTGGGATTTGTGAGAATTTGTTGTGGATACGGGTTTTCCTGGTGGCTGCTTTCTGAGATGCACGGATATGATAATTATGATTTGATTTTACTCGTTTTATATGTTTGTGTCCATTGCCTCGTAAAAAAGGGGTTGATTTGGTCCGGCTATACATTCTGACTATGTGTGATTTTTAGTGATATTTACAATGGATGGTGGTGAAGTTTTCCAGCCAATGTATGTTTTTGCTTCTTATTCTGGATTGGATTTTGATTGCTTTCTTGTGATTCAATCTTATCTTTAGTACATTTAAAAAAAAATTCAATCTCATCTTTAGTTTTATGGGTCAGAGCATGTATATCTGATCCATTTGAACTTCATTTTAGGAATTGGTAAAACGTTCATAATTGATTGTGGAGCTGGCAAAATTTTGTTGTTTGATTGTTGATCTTCATTTTTGGCATGTACTTTGGTTGTCTTTCAACAGTTAGAAATATGTTATATGTTATCTCATTGACCGTTAATGTTGTTCATATATGTTTATTATGTTATTCTAACAGTGTCGTTGCATGCAATAGGGTTTAAATTTTGCTGCCTATGATAATTCCTTTATGGTTTGAGTTTGTTTGTCATGATAATGTGAATATATAAGATATAATGTTTAGGGTGGCATTATTATTATTTTGTGGTTTCCTTTTGTTGATGTGTGTTTATGAAATTTGATCAATGAGCCTGTTTGGTTTGACTTATTTTTTTCTATGCTTTAAGCTCATAATAGTTGGGTATTGAGCTCATAATGCTGTAAGGTTGAAAAGTTTTCAGATTATCCAACTTATTTTTTAAGCTTTTAGACTTAAAAAACTATGAAGTCTTTGGTAAATTCATAAGTTTTATCTTGAAATTTTAATTAAATGATCAAAATGGACAGCTAGTTGCTCTTTTAGTCAAATATTATTTTACTAGAGTTTATTATTTCAAAAGAAATTATTTTAGTAGAGTTTAGTATTTTTGTGGATTACGTCGGTAAAAAATATAATTAAATGAGCTGAAAGCTATTTATTAAAAACTCTAAAATGAGCTGGTCCTACAAATTTCTTTTTTTTGGTCCTAAAAGCTTTTGAACTTTTACTACTTTTTGCACTGAAATACTTCGTGTTTCTTTTGTAGCCAAAATGTGCTTTTAAGTACTTTGTCCACCAAAAACGAGTCAATCCAAATGGCCTCTATGTTTTGGATTTTGCAAGTATGCACTCGGTATACTTCTCTATTTGGATATGCTTTAGAGGTTATTTATATAGCTATATCACTAAGTGCCTATGCTATTCCATTGTCTTACAAATTTGGAAGTTGATGACTAATTTTCATGCCCTAACGTATGTCAGGTTGTGCTGGACTTGGATTTAGAGGGCTACGTTTTCCTTTCTAAGACATGGAGGAAGCGCTCTTCTGGTCAAATAGCCACCAGTATCTGGTTTTTCCATTCCAAGAAGTGCTTGACTGGCGGTTTCTCATCCGTGGAGATTTTCTTTTGGTTTCCTTTGTTAATTGCACTTAATGGTCATTTTTGCTTTAATGATCAGTACAGGAGGCGTGATGCAAATTTCTAAGATAGGTGTTGGATCTTTAGTGCACTCTTACAAGTAAGTCTTTTATCAGTATTTCTTAGGACATATTTCTGTTTACATATCCTGATGATCTTTTCATTGTTAGTGCATTGCTGATACAACATCCAGTCAAAACTATTGGGAATATACGTCTTCCAGGGTACAGCATATACAATATAGTGTCTCTTATTTACTTAATTTTTTTAAAATCCATTTAAAATTCACATTATTGTTCTTTTGTTGCAGGGTTGAAGTCTGCAAGTAAACAGTTGAAGGTTCTTTGCTTAGTGCTAGATAACCTGTTGCGTCAATCCTGTGCAGGCTGTAGTTAGTTATCATTCCAACTTTTGCTGCTGATGGGTACTGGTTAGAGCTGGAGATGTCCGTTAACTGAAAATTCTGCTCAATTTCTGCATAGTGTAGATGAGTTAGAGCCAAATACTGGGCCATTGAGTGACTGTGTTGAGCTTAGGTTCCTTAACTGGATCAATCATTCTTCTCGGTTCGACCTTTCATGTCAGTATGTTCTATGGAACTTATCTTCAAGTCCAAATCTATGCGTTGGTACATTTTTGAAGCTGCAAGTTTCAAAATGAATAAGGCTCGGCCCATCCATCAAGATAATTCTTATTTTCTGCTCATGCTGGTTTTGAGAAGAAATTAATGGTGGATTTGGCTGGACTATCAAAACAGTATTTTAGTAGTTTTTAGCTTTTATTAGGAATCTTCTGACAGAAGATAAATGCCACATATATCTTTCGGGAGTTCTTATACTTGTCTTGAATAAAGGAGCGGATTGTGTTCAACAGAAATAATGGAGAGGTTAGCTTTTTTTTTTAATTAACACTTTCATCTCTATTGTAACAATTCTTTAAATTTATTAATGTTTAATTTTGGTTTATTTAGGTACAAGTTGATCAAGGAGGTTGGTGATGGAACTTTTGGAAGTGTGTGGCGAGCTATCAATAAGCAGACTGGTGAAGTTGTAAGTGTTGCTTAAAGTCCATTATGTACACACGTAGGAAACCAACTAATTTAAACGATGTAGTGTTAACTAAAAAATTTGTTCTACAGGTTGCAATTAAAAAAATGAAAAAGAAATATTATTCGTGGGAGGAATGCATAAACTTGAGGGAAGTGAAGGTAATAGTATAGTCTCCTTTTTTTGTGTGAATGGTCAAGTTACTTGTTGCTATCATAGTTACTTTCCTTAGAGATGTCTTATTTATTTATCTTTTCTTATGGCAGTCTTTGAGAAGAATGAACCATCCGAATATCGTGAAGCTTAAGGAAGTCATCAGAGAAAATGATATGTTATACTTTGTTTTTGAGTACATGGTGAGTTGTTGATTTGGTTTGCCTCTGATGCCTACTTGTAGTCTGATCCGCAATTTGAAATAATTGAAAACACATGTTTTAGGAATACAACCTTTACCAACTCATGAAAGATAGACAAAGGCTGTTCACCGAAACTGAAGTCAGGAATTGGTGTTTCCAAGTTTTTCAAGGTCTTGCTTACATGCACCAGCGTGGATATTTTCATCGTGACCTTAAACCAGGTAATTTCCTATTAAGGAACTTATTTTGGTCCAACCTAGTATTTTCTTTTCTTTGGTTTTTTTCTTTTGCAGTCAATAAACATCTTTGAATAAGTCATTCTGCATATTATTTTACATGTTAGCCTTCTAGTAACAACAACTTCTTTTTACAATGTACTGTCTAACCTACATATCCTGCAATTGAAATTGTTTGCAACAAACTGTTGCAGAGAACTTGTTGGTGACAAAAGACGTAATCAAAATTGCTGATTTTGGACTTGCACGGGAGATAATTTCGCATCCACCATATACAGAATACGTCTCAACGCGATGGTATGTGTTTCTTTTCATTTCTTTCTCTCTTGTAGATGGTAAAACAATTTTTGTTTATGCATGGAAGGATAAATAAGAACATTTTAAGTTCAATTGCAAGTCAATAGTTTGCTTTGTCGAGTTGAAAGACCAAATTATATTTTTATGTGTATATATATATATATATATATGAATTTCAATAGGAGGCAGCTTCCATCTTGTTCAAACCTCTTCCTATATTTTTTACTAGCTTTCTACATGTGAAAGTGTGCTGTCATTCTTCCAATTTCTTCCTCCCTCTACCATGAGAAGTATGACTCTGACATTAGTATACCTTCTTGTCCATTTTTTCTTTATGCTCACAAACATATTAGGTGTTCAATATCTTATTTCTCTGGTCTATTGACCTATCAATTTCAGGTACCGGGCTCCTGAGGTTCTGCTTCAGTCATACCTATATAGCTTAAAAGTTGGTTAGTGTTCAACATGGATAAATTTTTTTATGATTACAGTTATGTAATGCAAATATTATATGCTCATGATTCTTATAATTGGATGTTCTTTTGCTAACCAGATATGTGGGCTATGGGAGCTATCATGGCTGAATTGTTCACTTTAAGACCCCTCTTCCCTGGTGCTAGGTTTGTACCAAAGCTTTTGAAACTGAAAATAAATTTGAGGAAAAAAAACCATCACGGATTGTTCGCTTCACAACCTTATGCCATCTTTTACTCTGTGATAATACTACATTTTGTTGATATGAGGAGGCTGAGATATTAGTGAGAGCTACTCTTGTAGGATTGTAGACAAGAAAGAAATTTGCTGTTGACTTGTTGCATAGAAGACTTCTTCTTCTTTTTTAACAGTATCTGTTCAGGACCTGCTCTTTAGGCCCTGTGCTATAGGCTCTGTTCTATAAGCTTGTACAACCTTACCTAAACAGGATTGTCCTATAAGCTTGTACCTCTGTGTCCTTGAGTTCTAAGGAGACAGGATTTCAAGTCTGGTAGATGAATCATGGCCATGTGATGAGAGCGTTATTAATGATGGAGGCGGTTACTGAACTGTTGAGGCTGTATAGGATCGTTCTTAGTTGGATTTGACCTAGCTGGGGTAGTCACCCGGTTGTCTGACAGACTTGTTGCATAGAACATATTAAGGCATAGATCCAATAAGTTTTGAAGCTTCAAATTATGATTTGTTTTATAGCATTATGAATATAGATAGTTGAATGTTTGGTAATCGCTCTCTTGTTCTATCATTTAGAAATCGGATGTAGGAAATGGAGTTAATCATATCCTATTACTATGTGCAGTGAAGCAGACGAAATCTATAAAATATGCAGTGTAATAGGCAGCCCGACAAAGGATACGTGGGCTGATGGGCTCAATCTTGCTAGGGCCATTAACTACCAATTTCCTGAGGTTAGTCTTACTTTTATTCATCTGGTACATTTTGAAACACACTTCTGAAGTTGGAATTAGATGGTGATATTGGACCCTACATTGTAATTTAATGCAACTGCCCACTATGCTGCTAATTTTATGTTGATAGGTTGCTCACTGTGACTATTTGCTTGCAGCTCCCTGATGTACCTCTCTCAAGTTTGATACCTTCTGCAAGTGAGGATGGAATCAGTCTTATTACAGTACGTGATTTATTATTTCTGTTATCTCTCACCTTGAGAGTAATATGCTATTTCTTAAGTTAAAACTTTCCTCCCTGCTATTATTTGTCTAGCTGATCTTTATTTTTTCCTGTTCTGCTCATATTTTGTAGTCACTTTGTTCTTGGGATCCGTCCAAGAGGCCGACAGCTGCAGAAGCGCTTCAACACCCTTTCTTTCAGGTTGGCAGTTTTTTGTTATTTAGTTCATTTCCATTCTTAGAATTTGAGATGTGGTGTTTTTGATGTTGTTCCTTCAAATTTTGAGACGTACGTTATTTGTGGCAGAGTTGCTTTTATGTTCCACCATCCCTTCGTTCTAGAGCAGCTCTTACTAGAACCCCTCCATCTGGTATGATGTGTTTGTTGTCGTACTTATTGGAAGTAAACATGACCTCTGTTCAATGGATTTGTAAGATAATCTAATTTGTTTGTTTAGCTGGAGCAAGGGGAGCACTGGAGCAGCCATATATTAGGAGGTATTCAGGGCCTTTGGCTAATGCTAAGCTTGCTAACAACCATTCTACTTCTAAGTTTAATGCTTCCCTGAGCACAGGTGAGATATCTAAATGATTTTAGCTTGGATCATGTCTTATTCCTGCCTTTTTTTAATTGTAAATTTATGTTTGACGACTTTTGCTTTGTGCTTTGTATGAATATTATTGGGTATCTTGATATTACATTCATGTGTGTGCATGTGTAAATATTTTTTGATATCTTGATGTTATATGCGTGCATGTGTAAGTTCTGTCTGCTCAGCTAAAAACCTTACTATTATCCTGATTCATGTTAAATTAAAATGTATCAGCTACAATAGTAATTGGTGAAAGGCTGCACAAGTTGAGCCAAACAACTCTTCATGTCAGTGGTGAAGATTATATTTTGACATCATGCATGATATCATTTAAGTAGTCTGGGTCTAAATTGTCCTCAGAAGTGAACAAAATTTTAGTTTTCGTATTCCAGCTCCTACGAAAATATGTTGGTTTTTGTAATGATCAGAAATTATGATGATCAATACAAACTTGTTAATGTTATTGTTCAATATGTTATGTGGGGTTCTCCCATGTAGGTGTACTGCCCTTCAACCCCTCCAACCACGACCCCAAAAAGTTGTAATCCTGATAGGTTCTGTATGAATTTCAAAGGAAGAACTAAGCTTTTTAGACATGTACTGCTGTGCTTTATCTTTATTCCTGTGGAATTGCCGACCAAGTTTCAAAAATAGAATAGTTTAGCTTGATTTTGTTCATCCAGAAAAATTCAGACATCGAAAAGAGATTCTCATATAGATTGGCATTGTTCTTGTTCCTGCTTGCAGGTCTTCAACGTAAGCTGGATATGGCAAATCAGGTAAAGGGCTGACTACTTCAGATTTTTTTTTCATGCTCTTTATACTAGTGAGCATACATGTGCATATTTAAATGCATGCTTTTAAGTATTCTTATTCGAAGGCTTAACTGGTTTTATTTTTTCTCCTTTTCCTTTTCCTTTTCCTCCTTGAAGGATGGAGACAAGAGTGATAAATCCTTAAAGGGCTCTGTCAAACAACCTAAATACCGACCCCCAGGAAAGAAAAGTCCATGTAAGTTTCTATGGAAAAAAATGTCACAAAAATGTGGTCATGTTTCTCAATGATTTGCCTAATCAGTTTGGTCTTTTATTACTTAAAGAGTTTGTTGTATGAAGTCCTAGTCACTAGTGTTATTAACATAAATTGCCATGAAGTAATGCTCGTGCTTCCATGAGGAGATGTTATCATAAGTGCAAGAAAATGTTTCTTTTACTCGCTACAAGAATAGAAAGAAAGGGCGTATTCTTTGTGATAAATTTTCACTGAATTAAGAAATACTTTATTTGACTAACAGCCTCCATGAGCAAGTGTAGAACTGTGCGAGGAGTGTCAGACACATCAGAGAAGTTGGCAAATATGACAATAGGATCCCGCCGACAGCCTGGGGTGCAGCTGAGGCAACCTCCACCAATGAAGGCTGGGGTGCAATGGATTGGAGAATCTGGTGACTTGTTTCTCAGACCAACCCAGAATATTCAAGCTGGTAATGCTTACTCAAGGAAAGTAGCAGGATGATACATGAACTCTCAGTACTCTTAAAAAACGTTTTATATATATATATATATATATATATATATATATTATATGCAGAATGGCAGTGACATAAATAAGGCGGATTTACCTTTCTGACTGTTTGCAAGTAAACCTACATATGCTTGTTATGGTGTGGCGTGTGATGTGTCCAGTTCTACAAGGAAACTTCATCTGCTTCCATCTTGATGGTTTTACGATAAATATCTCCTTGTTTGCATGTCTGTATCGTAGGAACTCTGATCATTTGTGGTAATAAAATTTCTTTATTACAAATATTCTTGCTTTCGGTTCTGAAAAAGCGTCCAGGTTAGCACCGTGTTTGGGTTCCAGTTAGTGAAAATAATCTAAGATTCATGTTTTAGTAAATTATATGGAAATTCTTATAATTGAACTTATTGTTCTGAAAAATTACAATCAACTATCAGGTACCTTACAACATAGTATGGAGAATTGTATTAATATGACTATAGGTGTGAAACTTAGTTTAAGTTATTGTGTTCGATTGTTTATTATGATGTTTTCCATAAAATTCTCAGCAGTTTATTTCTAGATATCTAGTGAAAGAAGAACCTTTATGTCTATGCATCGATTCTCTTTGTACGAATCTAATGAGAAGAATGCTAAGAAACCTTTTTATCACGACCTTTACCTTTTCATTTTCAATGCGAAAATGTTATTTAAGTATATGTAGTTGTTTTACCTTTTTGTTTTCATAAATATCTCTTATATAATTTTTTTTTTAGTGTTATTTATTAATAATAAGCAAGTTCAATGTTTTATTTCTTACCTTAAATATAAGTAAATTATGCTTGTCATGTTTTCATTGAGAGTAGGAAGTACTTAAGTTTTCTCTCTTTGAATATTTGGATGAATTACATAGAGGTTTTAATGTTTGTGCGCTGATTGTATTATTTTTTAAATTGCTAATTTAGTCAGTTTATAAGATTACTTCATTATTTATACTTTCTTTACCATATAAACTAATTACCATCGGTATCTTTTTTCCTTGTATTTTACTTAGGAACATAAGAATTGCAAATAGATATTTCATTTTAATGTATTTTGTTTTTATGCACTTAACGTATTTAAGTTTAATTATTTTTCGAGAAATGAAGTTTTGGAAGAACTTCTGTTTCCAAGAGCTTATTTTAATTATTTTTCAATAATTTGAACTTACACAATCGATAAATTTATAAATTAAATAATTTTGCTTAATTTAAATAATTAATTTGACAATTAAAAGAGATGCAAGACATAATTTTATTAGTATTCTTACCCAGTAGTTGGCCCCCTGTTGATAAATTAGAGTTCCACCCCAATTAATTTAGATAATTCTTTATGGAGTAGTAAGTAAATATATATAATACAACAAATCAACCTCAACTGGATTTTGATTGAAAACTCAAAAGATCAAATTGAAGAAAGCCCCTCCCGCTTAGGTGACATAAACTTTACTTTGATAAAATAGCTTCAAGTCTTTTGTACAATATATATATGTATATATATTAAAAAAAAAATTAAGTTTTCGCATCAATTTTGTGTCTACTTTAATAATGTAGTTTTGAATTTTATCTGAACAAACTCTCCATGCTATCAGTCATTTGAAATCCATTACACGCTGCACACATGACAGATGATATGATCATAGTTTTAGTTGACGACTCTCATACAAACCAAAATATGCATATCCATCTCTGAATCCCTAAATCTCTTTAACCCTCACCCATGAAATTGAGTTTTTTACCACTTCATCTTTTTAAATATACTAGTCATTAGGTATAACTCAAACTCCATATCAATATGTGAGTGATAGTTAAAGATTTATCACTTTAAATATAAAAAATATAATATTTGATATTTGTGTTTTTTGATCAATCTTAAAATTTAATCACCATAAAAATATAAAGAAAAAAATTTCTCTTTAAAAAAATTAGTCTATATATCATTATGCTATAATAATAACTATCAGAATTTGATACTGTTTATATTTTAAGTTCTTTTAGAATACAAAAATTAAAAAAAAATCTTCAGAAATTTTATTAATGTAATTTTTTTTTTTTTTTTTGAGAAATCATTTTAATATCTCGTAGGAATATTGATATATTGATAGATGTCAATTAACAAATTTATTTTAAATAATTATATAATTAATAAATGAGATTATTCAATTCACCACTAACTAAATAATTGAACCTAATAGGCAAATATGGATGTTCATCTCTTAATCTAGACTAAAAAATTTGACTGAATTAAACTCTTCACTTTAGACTGAATCACACACTAAAAAGATTTTGGTTTGATCCTCAATTCAGGAGGTT